TCCGTCCGCCTCATCCCAACACCATTTGCCGTCTCTCCCTCTCTCCCAACGACCCACCTCCTTCCGATCCAATCCCCCCTCTCCGAATCGCCATTCTCGGATTTGGCAACTACGGCCAGTTCCTCGCCGAAACCCTATCTTCCCAAGGTCATATCCTCTTCGCCCATTCCCGATCCGATCACTCCGCCGATGCTCGCCGTCTCGGTATCTCTTTCTTCCCAGATCTTAACGATCTCTGCGAACGCCACCCCGACGTCGTACTCCTCTGCACATCCATCCTCTCCACCGAGACTGTCCTCAAAACGCTACCGTTTCAGAGGCTTCGTCGGAATACTCTCTTCGTCGATGTTCTCTCAGTCAAAGAGTTTGCTAAGACTCTCCTTCTCCAATACTTACCGGAAGATTTCGATATCCTCTGCACACATCCGATGTTTGGTCCGCAAAGTGTTTGTTCTAATCATGGCTGGAGAGGTTTACGGTTCGTCTACGATAAGGTTAGGATCCGTGAGGATCAGTCGAGGTCTTTAAGGTGTGAGAATTTTCTTGGGATCTTTCAAAGAGAAGGATGTGAGATGGTGGAGATGAGTTGTGCTGATCATGATAGGTATGCTGCTGGTTCTCAGTTCATTACGCATACTGTTGGGAGGATTTTGGATATGTTGAAATTGAAATCTACACCGATTAATACTAAAGGGTATGAGGCATTGCTTGATTTGGCTGAGAATACTCGTGGGGATAGCTTTGATTTGTACTATGGGTTATTTGTTTACAATAACAACTCCTTGGAGATGCTAGAGAGGATGGATTTGGCTTTCGAGGCATTGCGTAAAGAGCTTTTTGGTCGACTTCACGGTGTTGTGAGGAAGCAGTTGTTCGAAGGTGAAGCACAGAAACTTCTTATTTCTCCGAATGGTCACCGAAATGAGGCAGCTTTGGATATGACCAGGTCAGAAGATGTTGCTGTGAAGTATGAATATAACCCCCAGCTCTCTGGCAGTGTCAATGACAGTTCAAGGCTTAAGATTGGTATTGTTGGGTTTGGTAACTTTGGACAGTTTTTAGCCAAAACCATGGTCAGGCAAGGCCACACGGTGTTAGCCTATTCAAGAACTGACTACACTGATGTAGCTGCGGAGCTGGGTGTCTCGTATTTGTCAGACCTTGATGATCTATTTGAAGAGCATCCTGAAGTTATTCTTCTCTGTACGTCAATCCTTTCTACTGAAAAAGTTCTCAAGTCACTCCCATTTCAGAGACTGAAGAGAAGCACCCTTTTTGTGGATGTGCTTTCTGTAAAAGAGTTCCCGAGGAATTCCTTTCTTCAAGCTCTCCCACAAGATTTTGATATTTTGTGCACACATCCCATGTTTGGACCAGAGAGTGGTAAAAATGGATGGAATGGTCTTTCGTTTGTGTTTGATAAAGTAAGGATTGGAAAGGACGAAAGAAGAGCATCTAGGTGTGACGGTTTTTTAGATATTTTTGCCCGTGAAGGATGTTGTATGGTGGAGATGTCATGTGCTGAACATGATTGGCATGCTGCTGGATCACAGTTTATCACACACACAGTAGGAAGGGTTTTGGAGAAGTTAAGCTTGGAATCTACTCCTGTCGATACCAAGGGTTATGAGACATTGCTAAAACTGGTGGAGAATACTTCTGGTGACAGCTTTGATCTTTACTATGGACTATTTCTATACAATCCTAATGCAATGGAACAGCTCGAGAGGTTCGACTTGGCTTTCGAATCATTGAAGAAACAGCTCTTTGGACGACTACATCGTCTTCTGCATAAGCAGCTGTTTGGAAATGATAAGGATACCCAAATCATGTTGGAGACAACTGGCCTGTCAACTTTCTCATGAGCTGCTAAATCATCGTTGACAAAGATCTTTGCTTCATTGACTACATCTTCATGCATACTCGATATGGTGACAATTGGTGTTTTTACTTTGGGGAAATCTTTGGTCTTTGAAAGGTTTTGGTGACTATTTTTCTTGTAGCTTTATTTGACCCTCTAGTGGGTCTGTTGTATCATTTGTCCTCCATAGGGGCTTAACAGTCCCAACTGGCTTTATATGTGAAAACAGAAATAAAATCCAAACGAAATTTGGTTTTGGAAATTGTTTTACTTATTTTATGTGGTCCAAATGCGTTGGACTCACGGAAATGGTACACTTTTTTGTTTTGTTTATTCTAATCAAATAACTGAATGGAATTGCCTTAAGTTCCATTTTGTATCTCTAAGTACATGCAGGTACAACAACACTCCGCATATGCACAAAGACAATGGAATACGGAGCTACTGTTATTGGCTCTGTTGAATTTACAAGTATTGGCTCCAGAGGAGGTATGTCGCCTTTCGAATTAACCTGCAGAATATTTCCGTTGAGTAGCATAGTCTGACTGTGTAAATTTCCGTCTTTTGCTGTCAAATGGTACTCTTCTCTTTGGATTTCCCCATTGGAAACCCAAGGCAGCTGGGAAATTACTCTTTTACTAGACTTCCTGTGCTTGGTATGTCTCAGACTGAACGACGTGCTATTTAACTCTACTTTAGCCTCAATTGTTGTAGTGTTGTCAAGGTTCATTAGTAAAACTGTGATCCCTTTCTGCATGATAACGACGTTAAAGTTATACCAGAATTCATTGAGAACAATGCTACTTGAGTTAACTGTATGGAAACTCGACTGACCGATTGTCTTGCACAATGGGTGTAAGAACGTATTTTTTTTGTTCCGGAAAAGCTTGTGTACAATGCCTTTCTTCCCATAAGTTGTCGCCATATCAGAGCACTGCAGTTTAACAGGTAGCATGACTTGTGGTTAGGATTAAATACTATTGTTTCCCATTTCTTCTGGTGACATACCAGTTTCATCTTATCTTACCTGTAATAGTCTGGATTGGGTGTGAAATTAGTAGTATTTAGCAGCCCATAGTTCCCTCCGATCAGAGACTGTCTACAGTATGTTTTTGTATCATAAACCGATGCCATACCAAGCTGGTCCAGGTACCTACCATCAGTCAATATAATCAGTTGAAATGTTTGGAGTATATTGCACGTGATAAGGTTTTTATTTTTGCTGTTATGATATCTATTTCTTACCAGAAACTATACACAAAAGCATTAGAGACAAGGTTACGCCCGCTGTTGTAGGCACCACCAGACTCACCAACCCATGCCACAGCCTTGGTTGGGGAGTTTTTTATTATGTCTCTGAGGCTCCTAAACGTTGTTGCCTCGTGGTCTAGATATGAAGGGTCAAGAATCTTTTCTATCAGATGTTCATCGACTCCTAATCCATCAAAATATAGTTGTTTTTCAATTCAGGTGATTAAAAGGGAAATGAATAACCAAAATAGTTGAGGATTCAGGTTACCTGGACCAAGATCGTAGATGTGGCGAGTAGTAGCATCCAAAGAGTTTGCTGTTTTGTTCAAGTATTCTGCGAACCAAGCAGCATCGAAGAAGCCACCCGGGCCTATCACCAGCGGCATGGGACTTACATTTTTGAAAACCTGGTCCACAATGTTTCGCAGAGCTATCGTGTCTATAGCATACTGATTTGCTGCAACTCTTGCACCAACACCACTTCCACACAGCTCATTGCCTAATCGAGAAAAAAAAAAACCCGCAAAAACCAGCTTAGAGATGTAAATGGATTCGATATGGCGTGTCTATTGTGTTGTCAGGTGACTTACCTAGCTCCCAACCATTGATGGTGTGATTATTCTGAGCTGTAAACCGGATGAATGATTCAGCATTGGTGTAATCCCAGGCTCCTATGGCTTCACCGCTAGGTTTGATGGAACGGCCAGAAAGTGCATTCAGCCCGAAGATGACTTTAGCTCTGATTGGAACCACACAAGTAGGTAAGGGAGGAGAACAGAGTTGAAAGAAAGAAGAGAATTTGATGGTACCCAGTTCTGCGGAAGAAGGCATTGAGCTCGTCCCATCGGCCCATAGACAGACATCCTTGAGTGAAACCAAAGAGAATGGAAGAGTTCTTGGTGAAAGGAAGACAAGGTTGCTTCAAATCTGGTGTCTCATATATCACCAAGTCTTGTAATGTTCCTCCTATTCTTATTTTCAATGGAGCAAATGCTGTATTTTTTGGATTTGGAAGATCAGATTTTGACATAACAAATAGAATTATCAAGAATGAGATGTGTTATGTGATTTACCTTTGATTGCATTCTGGAGAATAGTATTGTTTAGGTTCTGCAACAAAATCAACATAGCCAGTTTCAATAGTCAATTTACTTGCTAAAATGAAGGGTGTATAATGATTTTGGAATTCACATTCTATAAATGGTAAAAAAAAACAAAAAAATCTGAGTTTCATAATTTATACAACAATGTTATTTATTATTCATTAGTAAAGTGTTTGCTAAATACATAGTGAGTAATAAATAATTTCAATAGGTTGCTTGTTTTACCTGTGGCTGTAACCAACCAAAACTACAAGTTGCACTGTTTTCGACGGAAGAACATGAAAATGAAAAACAAAAATGTTAAAAAAAAAAATGAGGTAAAAGAGAAACCAGATTGAGAATCGAAGCATGGTCCCAAGCACAAGTGCCGTAGTCACATTTCTGAGGAGGCCACCAATCCAAAGTGGCACAGATGAAGTCTTCGTCCACTGTTCCCACGGCGGCTCTTCCGTACACAACCACCGTACCTTTGTCTTCTACGGTGGAGGAGCTCACCGTGAACAAGACTGAAACTATTATCAGCCAGATTTGACGACTACCCATTTCTCCTCTCTTCATTTTCTCTTTAGATATTATAACAAAAATGGGATCTGATTATTTTTTTGGTGTTGATCAATATATAGTAAGTATAGTATATAAAATGGAAGAGAGAGACACGAGTGAAAAAGTGAAA